GGATAGGGTTTCACGATTTCTCCAGCAGGAAGGTCGTAGTGGTATTCAGTTACAATTGGAGTTTTAATTTCTTCAACTACAGCAGGAGGATAGGGAAATGTAGCTACATGTTCGGTAACAACAGGTTGTACAACCTCTACAGGAATTGCAGGAGGATACGGTTTTGATGCTGGAATAGTTGTAAAATTGTAGTGATATTTGGTCACAATCGGTGTTTTGATTTCTTCAACTACAACGGGTTGTACAACTTCTATAGGGGTTGCAGGTGGATATGGCTTTAAATCGGTTGAAATAAGAGTTTTAGTTTCTTCTACAACAACTTGGGGTTGTACAATTGTCGCATGAGGATAAGGAAATAAATTAGCGACAATGGGGACAACTGGGGTCGATTCGGGTTTTGCAATTTCAACACTCACAGGAGCTGGTGCAGCAACCGGAACAGCTGGTGGATATGGTTTTAAAACTTCCACTATTGGGAGAGCCGCAGGATATGGTTTTGAATTATCATCTGGTTTTTTTGTTTCCACTTTAGTTTCTCCATGAATTGTTGGTGATACTATTTCGATAGCAGGCGGATAAGGATTGGATTGCAGTTCTATCCATTTGACTTTCAAAGGTGCTCTTCCAGCAGAAATTATATTAACAGCGTTTAATATCACAAACAATATAATTAATTTAGTGCTTGTCTGAAACATAATAAATAAAAAATTTGCCTGCGTTCTTGTTTTAAACCTTACCATCTTGCTGTTATCACCAAAAATACAATTATAATGTGAAATCAGCTTAACAACGACATTTTATACTTATATACTTTCATAATTTGACCGAAGGCCCTTTAATGTTTTTATAATTAAAAATTAATTTTTGAAAGTAAATCAGTCAAATTAGGGTATTGTGTAAAAGAAGGATGGAAGGTACAAACGCATTTTTAAAATAAATGAACTATTTAAAAGTCGTTTTATAATTTCGTTTGTGTTTCAAGCTAATTTGTTTTTGGCAAGTTCATTTATTATATTTTGTCTGGAATAAACGGAAAATGTGTCGGCCTGCGTTTGGCAGGTACCGAATTTTTTAGTAGTAAATCTAAAAATAAAACTAATTGGAAACATTTAGATGAACTAGTTTTCAACATAATTTAATAAAAATAGCATTTTATGAAACGACAGTTTAAAGAAATAAAAAGAAATTGTATTTTAGCACAAGTTGCGACATTATATTACAATAAATTTTATAGACATAATATCAAAAAAATGTATTAACAAATGTTATGTAGGCATTTATTAAATAATTGATTACAATCAAGTTGTGATTCTTATGTTTTTATTATTAGCTTACGTGGAATACGGACTTTTTTTTGTAAAATTATTTTCAACCAGTTTTTGAGTATTTGAGGTCATTAACTCAATTTGTTTCGTCACACTACAGCCCACCGGCGTTTTCTCCCATTCTACCTGTCGCGAAGAATTTCCCGTGACGTAAAATTATTCTTCATCATTAAATGAGAAAGTAAGATTAACGGTAATATCATAAAATAACTGTGAAATCCCCAACCATTTAATTACTTAACTAACTACTGTCGCAAAAATGCAGCGCTACTTAACAATTTTCACGAATCTCGAGCAAACCATGCCCGAAAAACCCCTGATTCTTATTTTCCTGTTAAATACAGCTCACATTTCTTTGTTGTGAGCAAACAAAACCTTGAATTTCAAATTATACCAGTCGAAGCCACCACGAATTCACTCCGACACGTGAATCATAAATAAACTTGTTGGTAAACCCGCTAATGCTACGCAAACAGTGAAGCTTTTTAACATCAACATCAGTGAGATTCATTCAGTTCCAAATTTACCACGAGACAAGACCAGTGTGTTGGTGCCAGTGATGAGTTCACATCATACAAATCATTCCGATAGAGTGCACACGCGGTCTCCTTTGCCTTCAAGAAGGGATCGAAGGGAGGCTGATGTGTCCCCGAATGGGGAAAGAGTGCCTTTAGTGAAAATACATGATGAAAAGCCGCCTTTAGCGGGTCCTGAAACGGATGATGATTTGGACGATGACCGGGAAACTGTCTCTAAACCGTATCCAGGAGTGGATGATGGATTTTTTAACGGGGACGGAAAAGATAATAGCGGAAACGAGGGAGATTTTCCGGTAATTACGTCACGTGCGGGTCCGGATGGCGGAAGTGAAAACCCGGATGAAGTTGATGGTCCTAGAAAACCGGACTCGCAACCCGGAAGATTTCCCTACGCTCCCAATTTTGGACCGGATTTAGAAGTCGGGAGTATTGTTCCAGATTTGGATTCAATCCCAGATGTGAATGTGTACCAACACAAGAAAACTCTAGCTCAAGGAATGATGGATTTAGCTTTATTCTCAGCTAATGCCAATCAATTGCGATATGTTTTGGAAAGTTTTAATAGACACCCATACTATTATCCCAGTATAGTTCTGATCTCATTTAGCTTAATTTTTCAAGTAAGTGTAAATTTGAATTGGAATGCATTTTATGTTAAATAACCAGAAACACTTGCCTCGAGTTATAATCATGTTTTATTAACGACAATTGTAATTATAGAGTGGCCACGTGTTCCATACAAAAGGTCACTTTAGATAATACCGACAAGTTTTGTGGTTTATATCTGTTATTGTGGTAATAATAAAAATAAAATTATCTACTGGTTACTATCAAAACTTGCATAAACATTGTCTTATTTTTTCGAAGTTTTTAACAATTTTCTCTTTGTTTCAGGTCGCTGTTGGCATAGGACTTATTTGGAATTCACGATACAATGTAAAAGATGATAAACAAATTTGTATTGCTAATAGGATAAACAATTTTACCATTATTGGAATATTTTTAGTAACTGTTATAAATGTATTTATTTCTGCATTTGGTGTGGCAAACGCGCCGACAACTTGAAAGAATTTGATTTTATCTTTCTTGTGTTTTTGTACCCTTTTTGTTATATTGAATCGTGATATTGAAGTCTGGTAAAATGTGCTTTACAAGGAAATTTTATTTTTCTTACATTTTAAACTACATATTATTTATGTTTTGTACTAAGGCATTTAACAGAAATGTTTTAGATTAAGTTTAGTTTTTTTTTATTTATTATTTTTTTATATCTTGTCATACATAATAATAAAAATATATTTTATTATAAAATTGTCCTTATAGTATCATCTCCGAGTTCCTGTTTTGTTTACAGATAAGTTTAGCAGTTCTAATGTAATGTAAATATTTTCAAGGATAAAAACAATAATAGCGTGCTACTAAAATTTATTGCGGTTTTTTGGTTTCAATTTGTTATTAAATAAAATTTTATCGTAATAAAACTGTTCTAATTCATATTATTAATGTTTTTTTTTGTTCACCTTGTGCCACTTTGAAGGACAGTAATTATTATTTAACTATCCTTTTTAATTTAATACACTTTTCTTCCTTTCAGTTTATTCTTTATAAAAAGAACACTAAATGGTTTTTCTGATTTTTAGAGAGCTAATATGTTGCAAAATAGTGTAATGAAAATGTCCTTTGTGTTCTTATTTTAGACTTGGCGTCATCACTTTTTCATTAAAATATAAATGTGTTCTGAGAATTTGAAAACCTTGGGGGGTTCACTGAACTTCTCTTAAATTTCACAAATCATTTTTTCTATAAAAGTAAACAATTATTTCCAATGTCACTGATTTTTTTGAGAATGCTTATTAAACTGGAACACAAAAGTTTCGTTTCTGGATTTAATTAATATAAACTATTTATTAGAGTAAAATCACTAATTTAATTAATGGAGTAAATTGTCAGAAAGGGTTAATTAAATTTGTTTTTCTATTTTTTTACTGTTATAGAACGGCAAGTTTTTGTAGAATTGCAAAGCCACATTTTTTTATCACGTCTTGAGAATCTGAACCGCAAAATAATTCTTTCTAGTCATTGTGATTAGACTAAAATTTCCTTTTGAATTTCAGAAGCATATTTTTAAGAGGATGTGGTTATGCATTTATATTGTAATAAAATAAAAAAATTAAGTAGAGGAAAATATTTTGCATTTAGCGCCATTTTTTTTTGCATGTTGTGTTTGTACGCATGCGCAGCTAGTCAGAATTGCCAATAGCAGTTCAAATTTTGACATCTTGTCATGTTAATAATGTTTACGTCACCGGGAAAGAGTAAACAGTGCTAAATTTCAAATAAGAGGAAAATGTTAAACATATTTGAGAAATTAAGGCGTTTTGATGCATATCCCAAAACCCTAGAAGATGTAAGGATTAAAACGTACGGTGGAGCWGTCGGTGAGTAATTTCCTATTGAATAAATGGTTTATGTGAACGAATTTATCTTTCAGTCACAGTAATTAGCCTAATAATAATGAGTTTACTCTTTTGGATTGAGTTTGTGGATTACTTAACACCAAATGTGTCCGAAGAACTTTTTGTTGACACGTCAAGGAGTCCTTCAATTCAAATAAATTTGGACATTATTGTACCTACAATCTCATGTGACTGTAAATCATAAAATACGTGGCGTTACGGATTTATTTTATTGATTATTGTTTTATTGTAGTTTTAGCCTTAGACGCTATGGATTCCTCAGGTGAACAACATCTACAAATTGATCATAATATATACAAAAGAAGGTTAGATCTACAAGGGCAACCAATTGAAGAACCAAAAAAAGAAGACATAACAATAAAAAGTAAAAACGCGACAGAAGTGAGTCTAATTGCTGTAATTCAATGTAAGCACAATTTTATTTATAGGTTGCAGCTAAAAATAAAACTGAATGTGGAAGTTGTTATGGGGCTTCCTTTGATCCTAATAGGTACAAACAATGAATAATCTTCTCAATAATTAATGATAACAATTTTTAAGGTGTTGTAATACTTGTGAAGATGTTAGAGAGGCTTACAGGGAGAGAAGGTGGGCATTTCCTGAAAACCCTGAAAATATAACTCAGTGTAAAGAAGAAAGATTTAGTGAGAAACTCAAAACTGCATTTGCTCAAGGTTGTCAGATATATGGCTCACTCACAGTCAACCGAGTCAGTGGCAGTTTTCACATAGCTCCTGGGAAAAGTTTTAGCATAAATCATGTACACGTACATGATGTCCAACCCTTCTCATCAACCGAGTTTAATACAACACACAGGATAAGACACTTGTCTTTTGGGGCAAGCATTGACAGCGACACCCACAACCCCCTTAAAGATACTGTAGGACTTGCAGAAGAAGGTAAGTGATGTTTAATTAAAAAATCCTTGATTTGTCGTCACAATTTTTTTTTTAAACAACTAGATTAATAAATATACATAACTAGAATAATTGCAAGACATAAGTGACACTCTTCTTGAAGTATTGTTTGACGCTAACATCTCAAACCAGATCCAATTGCCAGGAATGTCCCAAAAGATCCTCCGCCTTGTATCATGACCTTACCAACGGTGTTAACTAGTTCTTTGCCCCTTAAACCGCCCCTGTTACGTAAAAATAAGAGTCAATTGCTTATGTAAACTTTAAAGTAAGACCAACCTTAGTGCCGAGAAACCGCCAAATAATGCTCCACTTGCCATTCCTACACAAAACCCAAGGAAAAAACCCATTTTCATTTTATCGAAGCACGAAGGGCCTTGTTGATAAACACCTCCAGGGACGGCCGGCATTGTTCCTGCAAAATATACGTTACTACCGGTTTAAATAATATGCGAACCTACTTTTATTCCTGTATTCTTGCCCTTAAAACACTGTTTAATTTTGTGTTTGATTCTAACATTCAACTTTGTGATTTTCACGTTGTCCGAATGTCGTAAATGTCAAATTACAAGGGTTAGGTGGTGTGGTTAAGGTTACAGGAGCGCGGGAAATTTAAATTTCTTTTGTTGATTACAGGTGCTACCATGTTTCAATACCATATAAAAATCGTACCAACTTCGTATGTAAAAAAAGACGGTGAGGTCATAAATGCTAATCAATTTTCGGTGACGAAACATAGGAGAGTGATTTCATTAATGAGTGGAGAATCTGGAATGCCAGGGATTTTCTTTCAGTATGAATTGTCTCCACTTATGGTTAAATACACAGAACGGAGCCGGTCGTTTGGTCATTTTGCGACAAATGTGTGTGCAATAATTGGTGGTGTATATACAGTGGCTGGACTGATTGACACAATGTTGTACCATTCAGTGAAACTTATTCAAAAGAAAATCGACTTGGGGAAGTTCCATTAAAAACAGTATTTTTAAGACTAGTGTTAAGGATTTGCTATGACTTTGAAATAAACGACGCAGTACAAACATTTTTTATTTACAATTTTTACAATGATTTGAGAAATTCGTTAAACGCGTTGATTGAAGATCCTGCGACTTCTGTAGCGAAATGTGCATCTGACTGTGAAACCAGTGAAATTAAAGAAATATAATTGGGTTGTTTGGGATCAAATTGAAGTTTGCCTAGCTTTTTCAGAAACAGGTGTCTCTGTTTTATCCTAAACTCTCTGCAAGTTAGAATTTGGGGCATTTTGGCGATTGTTTCTAAAGGAATATTCATTTCTTTGTGTATGTATTCAAATGTTTTCAATATTGCGTTTTGGCCTAAAAAAGTTTTATTACTTGTTAAAAAAAACAAATGAGTAGAAATTACTCTTCATGAAAATTTTTGGCCTTTGTAGTAAAATTTGTTTAGTTTCTTCAGAAGTAAAACCCATTTCCTCTTTAATAACAAAGGTAATGACTTTAATATGGTTGGTATCATATGTTATTAATCTTGGTTTTTTCACAGTAAGACTCCTAACTTCATTTCCAGTTAATCTAAAACTTTTTTGAAAAAATCCCAACTTCTTGTCAATTTCTTGCGTACTAAAACACGCCTTATTATTTTCATTGAATAATTTAGTGTTGATATTTACCTGAAACTGAGCCAGTGGGGATTATCCTGAACAATCCTTAAAATCATATCTTTGTCAAATTTCTTAAACTTGAGATAATTAATCCTCACTTCCAAATTGTCTAAATCTTCTTTAAAAATGAACGGGTTCTTTGTGATCATCCACCCTAAATCTTCAGTCTGTAGCCCCAAATCAGTCAAAAAAATTATATGTCTTTTAATATCCTTTTCAAAATCTAATTGCAAAAGGTACGGAGGGACTTCAGGCTTTTTCTCTAATTTATAGAGCTCAACACCTAGTTGTACCAATTTTTGTAACGTTTCTGATTTATTAACATATGCAGCAAAATTGAAGCTTGGTCTTAAATAAGGAGCCACATATGAGATGTCCTCTTTACACGGCTCTAAGACTGAAGATTCTGGTTCTAGTTCTTTAGAGTTGATGGTATCATCGTTTGGAACAGTTCGAGTATCCAATAAATCATAATCAGATTTTGTTGAAATAGCAATTTCAACAGGTTTGTCTTGCACACTTGAAAATTGGCGTAGCCGTAAATAAACTCGAACACTGTATGTTTTAAGAATGTTCCTCAACATTTTTAATAATAATCAACTGCTCACTAAAGAAAGTTTTCAAATTGACAATTTCACCTAACCTCAATTTAGAGATTTGTCATTTATGGTGGATAAAGTTACGGCATGTGAACTTTGTGGCAAAGTTTGCATTATTTATTCTCCGTGAGCCGTAACGTGGTGTAACGTAAATAATTTTTTTTTAATTTTAGTAGGGGATAAGAGGGAAAATGGATTTCATGGTTCTGCTTACGCTTGAAAATATTATATTATTTGTTCACTGTATTTTCTTTTGACTTAGTAAATCATTGGTGATAATAGTTTTTTATATCACTGTGTTATTTTACATACATTTCAAATTACAGTTTTTTTTTTAATTTAGTGACCACAAATGAATAAGGAATCTTCTTGCTATACATAAACATTGAAAGAGGATTTTATTAAAACGCTAGTAAACACCATTACCAAGAGTAGAGTGCTATAAAAGAATTCCACTACTCATTAGAATCGATTTTTCATGCACTTAATATTTTGTTGTGTATTACTGTATTGCATAATTTTTCTTCAATAAACAGCAGTAGAAACAGTTATTTTAACCTTTATTATAAAAATGAATGTTTTTTTTTAAAGTTAAATAAAAAAGTATTTTTAGACTTGCTAATGTCACATTGATAACAAATAGGTAAAATTTAAAACGACATTTTTTGAAATTATCATTTATTATCACTATTTCTATCACAGATTTGTGACTTGATTATAAAAAGTGGAAGTGATAATCGGTATTTGAAAGTAAAACGTTTATTTGTCGATGCGTTTACAGTAGGTATGAGGCTATTAAAACCGCAAATTGGGTTTTAGCAAAGCTATTGTTTTTTATGATAACAATACATATAAATAATACTAATCGTATAGTATAACACGTCACAATAATTTCGTTATAACTTGGTCAATAGGAATTTTTGTACGCGAAATATCAGTTAAATTTATTGTCATATGTAACCTCTTCTTGTAATGACTTGAATACTAATTAACGAGAATAATCAAAGGTTTAATGCCCGATTACTTTTAAAACAAAACTTAGGTACCTACTAATTACCAAAGCATCATTGACATTTCAGTAGTTAATAAACTAATTAAAAAGTACAAACGCCAACTAAACTTCTGTTCATGTGGTGATTGTCTACGTCGATTTTTGTGGGTGTCTAATGTGGAGGCGTAAATTTTGGCTTAAACATTAAAACGTGTAATTTCGCCTCCATTTGCCTATAAATTCCTGTCACCAATTCAAATATACTTTTTCGAGTAATTGGGACGGTTTAATTCTTCAAGTATATAGTTTTAATTTGTATACAGGGACGCCTGTTCGCTGCATTAACTGTGCTATTGAAAATTAGTATCGGCTACGGTTCATAAAAAAAATAACAATAAATTTCCTAATTTTCTTCTTGGAATAAAAAATATAAAAAAGAGTGACAGACTCGGTTTCGAAATATTTTAGAGTGGGTCAATATCTAAAAAGCGTAACAACGCGGAAAAATTCTATTTCAGTAGTTAATTTAAGTAGTAAGTAAAATTTCTAATTTTTAACTAACGGTCGCTGACTAGTGACTACGTTTAAACCGCCTGTTCGGGTTTGCATTTAACGTAATTAAAATTTTTGCAATAGGTGTAAAAATTATTGATAACTGTTTCCACTCGCTCTGATATTTGTTTGAAATTAATTGTTCTGTGGGAAGGCTGCACACCTGTTTAGACTGGACCATGATTTATTATCCTATTAATAAATTAATATTCATTTCTTCACGTAGCATTTAAGTTGTCAACCAATATTACACACACCTATAGTTTTAAAGTTTTTTGTTGCAGATCGATCACTATTAAATGCCTTATTAAAACAAATATAGATTGATTTTGATGCAACTGTGTGGGATTTAAGAAYCGCTATATTAAATTAACTGTTTCAGATATTTATCGTAAAATGTTATTGTCATTCATAAGTTTCTTACGTCAAGTAATGTCAGTGGTAATGTAATACTTAAGTGACGTAAATGTCAAAAAAATCACAGAGTGGTGCAGCTCTTAATATCAAAGAGGTGTGCCATAAACTAGTGCTCTAGTAAAAACACAATGAAATACCATACAAGGAGTGTCGGGTTTTCGCTTTAGGACTTCCTAATGTATACTAGGTGATGGAAAAAAAAAGACCGAAATATAACATAAATGGTTTATTTTTGTAGGTACACAAATTATAATTTTACTGAGATGTTTACTTATATTTACTGCCAATTAAAACTTGTAATGAAGTGTGTAAACGTCAAGTATTATTTCTATTACAAATTAAATTATTACTGAAATAGGAAAACTTGTTTTTTTTTAATACAAATACGTAATATAATAAGTCGAGAAATTAGATTTGAAGATGTTTATTTTATCTAAAAAGAATAAAAAGTGTGTATCTTTAAAATTGTTAAAAAAATGATAGATATTAAATATTGTAGGTAGGTTATAAAAAATATATTAAATTTAAGGGTCTTATTTGGCGAAGTTGTGATAAACACACTTATTAAATATCTGTTTACTATTTCAAGAGATATACATATACATTTTATAGATGTTATAATAGAGATTAAAAAAAATATATTTCATTAAGTAGTGATGTCTGTCCTCAGGTATTCGATTTTAAAGGCTTACAGAGACCAAACAAGCACCATTTTTTTAACAAAATTTCTAGGAACAAAAACAAAAAACAAACAAGATTTGTGGCTATGGAGATAAGCCGCTACCAATTTTTTCACCAAAATTTTGACTTGGTAATTTCCATTTAAAGAAAAAACAGACTTTACAATACTTTCGTAGTTATACTACTATACTATCCATGAAAATCGAAATCAAAAATGTACATGAATGTAAATCGTTTTTCTATTGTACTGTTTATGTTTTGTAATGACAAAATTGGTAATTATCTAAAAAAGTTTAAAATGGATTTTTAATGATCCCACTTTGTGAATTAAAATTTTTAGCAAGAAGAGATTCTAAATAGGTATATTTTTTTGAAAAAGTAAAAATGACACGTAACAATAAGTTAATTACGAAGAAACAAACTTGTCTCACGAATCCTTATAAAGTTATTATTACCACTATGCGAATATTAAGTTTCATATCTAGTTCCATCTGCAAATAGTGTTGTAAATCTTGTCTTTCCTCAACTCCTCTCCACATTACAGTTCTCCAAACAGGCCTGATCCGTTCAAAGTGCAATCACTCGCAAAATAAAACCCATTCCCGTCGTTTATTTGCCTTCCGGTCGGTTTTTCCCGCGCCGCCTTGGAATGCATTTTTCTGTGCTCGAATTCCGTTCGCTAAAATGGAGACATCACATCGTCCCGGAGTCGAAGAACCGGCAATCACGAAACATGGCGATGATCAGTGTTGTTGCATGTTTTCCGGTCGCAGTGGCGTACCTTTTCGTACCTGGTGGGATAATGAGATGGTCATGCGGGCCCGGACGGCCACCGGAGCGGAACAGGCGCGGGGGTCATCGGGGGGCGTCGTGTTACGGACTGACAACTCCGAGCGCGTTTCCCGGACGCTCGTCGACTGAAGCGGAACGTCTGCATCTTACACGGCCATTGCCAAGACCAGAGTGCTTTTGACGAAGAACAGCATATGCTATGCGTAGACCGGATTCAGGTTTAACACTATCTGGAACAAAGATGAAATACCGGACTCGAGACGAAAATACTTCCTGCTGAACTGGACTGATGGCAACTTCGGGGCGCGACTCTAGGGAAATCGATGCTAGAATAAGACGGATGCTCCTAGTAACCATGAGCTAATAACTTAGAACAACAGTCGTTACAGAGGTTTAAGACTTCTATTATTATTACCGCTTTTATCCGTTCCTTTGTGCCTTCAAAGAGTGTAAATAAAATGATGAAATCTTTGATTTAGTTTTTGTTTTTTATCTCATGACTCAGGAAGAAAATTATTACACTAATAAAGAGATAACCGAGGCTAATCTCATTCGATTGCAATAAACAGTGACTATAAATATGAATTTTTAAAATCGTGATGGATTTAATTGTAGCTTCCGATTGGGAAAAGGTCGAACACAGTCCAATTACAAGTTGTTGCTAAACCTGAAATGAAAATTTACAACGAATCGTTTAATGAAATTACAAGAATATATGAAAGAAAAATGAAGACTTGTTAAAGTCAAAACGATTTAAAAATATTCACGACAAGCCAAGAAGCAAAAAATATATGTCTATAGCCTATACAACACTTACAACAGTGCTCTGTTATCTCCTCTATAAAAACATTATTATTTACAAATATTTCCAAATTTAAAAGATATAACTTCTTTCTAATTAAATATAATATACCTACAGGGTATGGAACTGTTTTTTTTTAAGATTTACCTACTCGAAAAGACTCAAAATGCACTATACCCAAAATTATCATAAAGGACGTTAATTACTCGTAAGTGCTTAATTTTTTTTTGGCTAATGACTAACTAATATTTTTATATTTGCAACTTGATTCAATTTAAAAGTTGTAGAAACCAACCTATATAACTCTATAAACAGTTGAAAAGTAAAAATAAAAAAGGCAATGTCTGTTTTATCAGTTGGTATAAAAATTGTACTTTTTTATAAAAATTGTAATTTTTTATATGTATTAACTGGTAAATCTTTCTCACTTGACCTCAAATGTGATAGGTTACTATTTGGTCTATTTTAAACCACGTGACTTGAAACATCATCCATTTCGGCGATTTCTTTATTTGCAAAGGTTTGTAGGAGGAGATGGTCCGTAACAGAAATTTGTTTTTTGGGCTTTCATAAAAAAATTAAATTAATTTTAATTTCGGCTATATTTTGAGATTGTTTCTTTACCAATCTGCATTATCACTTTAATATTAAATTAATATATAAATTTCCAAATTTTTGCCTGTAATAAATTAAAAGCCTACCACGAAAATTCATGAATACGGCTCTTTTGTAAATCTTCAGGGTAGYAGCACCAGTAGTGAAAAATTATTACGGCCGACCGCAAGGCTGCTTAAACCCCCAATCCCAAATATTTCTGGTTACGACTAAACCAACCAGACTTATCATCGAAAAGAAAAA